GTCAATCTAAGGTGAAAAAGTGGGCTAAGAGTATGATTCCCTGGGTTTAGTTCTCAGTTCAGCTGAAAACTGATGGGTTTGGGGGAAGTGCCTACAATCTCATTTGTAAAATGGTGTATTATTACCCAGTAAGATTTGTTATAAGGTTACAGTGAGATGTATAGTCGTTTTGAATGAGCATGGCGTGAAGGGTACAGTCTTAATCTTTACATTTTATGACCTTTGCGAACTCACTCTAGTTGTGGTCTTTTTTTGTCATTAGAAGAAATGTAGGTTTTTCTGATTATTCTTGGGTAATAACAAGTTCTCCATGTGTAGTCACAAAAAAAATCTCATTTTAACTTATTTTCAATATTTTTAAATTCATTTTAACTGTACAATTAGAAGAGTTCTGATGACTCCACATAACCATGAAATCACCACAAGATACAGAACATTTCCATCACCTCCCATGAGTTTTCTTGTGCTTGTTAGCAGTCCAGCCTCCCCTTCAGCCCCAGGCAATCATTGATCTCTTTTAATGTTGATTGGTTTGCTTTTTCTAAAAGTTTTTATAAATGAAATCATACAGTGTGTGCTCTTATGCTTGTTTTCTTTCAGCACGATTTTGAAGTGGATCAATAAATGCCATAAATATTTACATTTTCTTATCTAATGATACTGAATATTTTTTCCTGTATTTTTTGGCTATTTGTGTTTTACATAGGTATTGGGGATGCTGTGTTATGTGAACTCATGACTTAAGGTTATTATTTAAGACTAAAATACAAAAGACTTCTGGGATGTGATTGGGTAGCGTTAAGTGTATTAAGACATTTTAAAAACAATTTCATAATTTATATCAATTTTTAAGGTAACTGTGGCTAAGAATGGAAGTTTTTAGGTATTACTGGAGATGTTAGAACAAATACTCTTAGCAAAGAAATTTGCTGCCGTTGTACTAGGAATGTTGTGAAGTTAACAGACTAAAAATTAATAGAATATAATAGAATGCAAAATCTTAGAGCATCTGCAAAGTGCAAGGTACTGCTCTAAATGCTGGAGATTCAGCAGTGAACAAAATAAACATTCTTGACCTTATGGGTCTTAAAAGTGTGTGGATGGGCAGTATACAAATGAGTAAAATATGGTGGATCGTGTGAATGCTGTGAAGGAAAAATGGAAGGGACAGGTAGAGAATTTGTGATGCCATCTAAAGGTAGTTAGGAAAGGCCTTATCGATAAAAAGTGATGTTTGAGCAAAGCCATGAAGGAGCTGACTGAGAAGTCATGTAGGTTTCTGAGGGAAGAGGATTCCTGGCAGAGAAGCATAAAAGCCCTTGAGGCAAGATCCTTTATTCAAATGTGTGTTAAGTTCTTAGACTTATAGTCCCAGGTATTGGTGATGCTGCATTTAACACAACGTGTTTTAAAATTCCAGCTTCTTGGAGCTTACATTTCATTATGCTTGATGTGTTGTAGGGTTGGGGTTGACTGATATGACAGGACTTCACATGAGGAGATGGGAAGCCATTGGAGGGTTTTGAGCAGGGAAAAAGTCATCTGAATTAGGTTTTTAAAGGATCATTCTGATGACTGAACAATTGACTAAGTGAGCAAAGGCAGAGGCAGGAAGAACAGTTAAAAGGCTATTAAAATAACCAGTAGCTCAAAACAGAATAGATGGTAGTGAAAAGTTGGAACTTAAGTCTTTGAAGGTAGGTTTGCTGAGAGTTTAGATATGATGGGAGAGTCAAGAATGACCAGGTTTTTTGGCATAAACTAGAAGCAAGGAACTGTCATCCCAACAGTGATGGAAAGCTTGCAATGTGGAGGAGGTTTGGGGAGAAGTGAATTAAGCTTTGAATGGTTTATATTTTGGATGTTTATTAGACATCCAAGAGGAAGTGTCATGAATCAGAAGAATTTATGGTGGGAAAGATTTAAAATAGAAGAATGTGAATGCAGTTTACATACTTTAAAATCTAGGTTAAGTTGTTACACATTCATAAAGATTTTATTTCACCTTCAGTGAAGAGTTTGTAAACTTCCTTGTGAGTTGGGGCTTGAGCAAGAGCAGGAGTACTCTGGGCACTTTTAAACAAGCAGCA